AAGTGCAATACGGCGTTTATGTTGAAATTTTCTAGATTCTGGCAGAACCAAGAAGTCCGGAGTTATGACATTTACGAGCAGTCATAAATTTAGCTCGGGTACAGGGAATCGGATGCCCCTAAAAGGAAGGTCAGTGAGAAGGACAGGTCAGAACTTGTTACAGTTGCCTGTGAATGAGGGCCAGTATGATTGAGTTGCCCCCTTCAAGCTTCCTTGCAGAAGATGGGATGAAATGTATATGTCAGCACCATGGAGAATTCGAATTCTTTCGAATTCCCGGCGTGGAGTGTGCAAGCCATTCCACAAAGGAAACTTTCACCACATTCTGAAGTGAACGGACCTGACCCTTGCACGCTCCGAGACCTAGCTTGCAGATTTCTTATACTTTTTCTTCTACCCTGAAGATGGAGGCGATACGTTCCTCCGAAACGTCGGTTAACACCACTTATACACGGTGCCAAATCCCAGAAGACTGCTTTCTTCATAGTCACCGCCGTGAAAGCCTCAAATCTTACATCTGTTACCTATCTTTATATCATGATTTTGCCCTGCATTTTGGTGACGAGACAGTAACATATACTTAGTTTTCTCTGTGTTTACTTCTAAACCAACCTCTTTACTTGCGTCAATTAAAGTTTGCGTGTTTTTCTTTATGGTANAAGATCGCATTAAGTGGAGGAACTGTTTTGGAAGAGGCTGTGGACCTGTCGTCTGACAGATTACTCATGAATGTATGAATATTGTCACGTGTTCGGGGTTCTGAAATGGACGATTGGGTTTACTGGCACTGCTATTACAAACTGTTCACAATCAGTGACTGTCTAAGACTCGCTCCAGCCCTTATTTTTTATTGCTAGTGGGGTGGGACTAAGTCCCTTGTACTGCGGCCACTTCTGGCCTATTGTACCAGCCCCAGATGATAGGTGAGGGTGATTGTGGAGCAATTGGTGGAATGAAGATTGGCAGGGGAAACCGAAGTACTCGGACAAAATCTGTCCACAATCTCCACAAATCCCACTTGACCAGACCCGGGATCAAACCCGGGCCGCAGCGGTGGGAAGCCAGCGACTAACCGCTTGAGCTATGGCGCGGCGTCTGCTCCAGTCCTTACTGGACTACGCGTGTCTTCTCTTCCATTGTGACTGACTTGGTTCTGATTTAAGAGTCGTCACTTCTCCGTCTTACAGCATAGCCCCAGTCCAACACGCAGTGCAAGTCTGTTACTGTGAGAATTATGTCAGTGATTCAGTTCACACTGTCATTCGTATTTTTTTTTTTTTTCGAAATTTGGGTCTAGTGTTTGATAATCTACCGCCTTTTTTTGAGTGTATTAACTACGTTCGTGGGATTTCCATGTGAATAAAATATATATGAATTCTGTTTACACTTTTAGCTACATTTCTATACCATTAGATAAAAGGTACTGAATCATGAGCTTAAATACAAGGAATGTTAAATAAATTATTAGTTTTATAAATAGGAAAATGTTCTGGTCTTGGGTATGGCACTTAAATTGGTATGTCAATAAAATAAACGACAAGTATTGATCTCAAAGCAACGAAAATGTTCATGAAACATTTAGTGCTGTACTATTCGTCTATTGATACATGGAAGGGTCTAATATTAGAAACATTCCTTAATTTATTTCGATCCTTCCTAGAAAAGCTGCGGAGTTCAAATTATATGACATGCAAAGCGCATTAATGAATTTAGTAGGGTATGATACAAGATTCAGGGCACTATATTCTTATATTTTATGTATATTTTTGTTTCTCTTTTGTAATTTTATTCTTACGTATATTTTAAGCTTTGAGACTATCACAGAAACTACAACAGAACACCAATGGCGCAGTCAATATAATGAGTAGTTGTTGGTCTAGTGGTCAGAGTTCCCGGTTACAGATCCAGAAGTCCCGGGTTCGATTCCCGTCTCTACCAGATTTTCTGAGAAGTAGTGGGTCTGGAACGGGGTCCACTCAGCCTCACGAGGATAACTGAGGAGCTATTTCAAGGAAATAGCGGCTCCGGTCTAGAAAACCGAGATTAACGTTGCGATGACTGCGTGACACCTATCCGCTAAAGTTGGCACTAACTTCGCCGAAAAGCGGCGGTCGCTCGGTCGGTATAGTTCGCTTGCGGACTTCAGGCCATAGTTTTGTTTTTTGTTTTTGTTACTTTCAAAATGTTCTGAAATTCCATCTGGTAGGAACTTGGAACATTAAAGAGACAGTTGATATGCGCTCTTGAATTCACAAAGTTTTTCATGTTCCTAATTACAGGTCTTCCAAAGAGAACTAATTAAGGCCACCTGAAGTTAAATGTCAAGAGGCACTAGTAAGTGCTACCAAATTCCAAAATATCACAGAAGTGGCGTGTGTTCCATTATTCTGGAAATTATTTGGACACGGTCGGATTTGGGACCCTCACAGCGGTGAATATGTAAAGTACGGCCTTGTTGATAGTAAAGCCATGTAGCTCGGAGAAAAACCTTTCCGACATACACCGTATTGCAATCCTCGCGGCCGTTTTCTTTACTTGGTCGTTTTCAATTTTTATTTACTAATTGGCAGAACAATATAACACAGTATGAAATCATTTTCTTTCATCAGCATGTCCCAGACAGAACAAACAATACATATATCACTGATGATAAATATGCTAAGAATCATTTTTAAACAAGTTCCGTGCCATAACTCAAGCGGTTAGTCGCTGACTTCCCAACGCGGCGGCCTGGGTTCGATCCCGTGTCTGGTCAGGTGGGATTTGTGGTGGACCAAGTTGTGCTGGAGCAGGTTTTCTCCGAGTACTTCGGTTTCCCCTGCCAATCTTCATTTCACCAATTGCTCCACAATCACCCTCACCTATCATCAGGGGCTGGTACAATAGTCCAGAAGTGGCCGCAGTACAAGGGACTTAGTCCCACCCCACTAGCAATAAAAAAAACACAGTCTCACCCCACTAGCAATAAAAAAACACAAGTTCGGGAGTAAATTTCTCTAGGTATTTTAATTTTTACCCCCCTAATCTGCAAAATAAATTTCACACTTTTAAGTTGTAAACTTTCGAAAACAAGATTCTATGCCGTGGAGACGAAGTTAAAGGTGTAAAAATATTACTTCTTATCTTACTGTAGAATGGCTGTTTAGTCAGTTACCTAAAATAAGAACTTATCTTGAGCAATATGAATATAATATATAATGACATGTGTTTAAGCAAAAAAGTAAAAAAAAAAAATGTAAGTAAAGCTATCCCTGTAACAGACCGTGGAGGCCCATAGGGTTGTGAGACATTGAGGGTCCCACATTATCTAGATAATCGGCTCAAAGATGGCGGTAAGGTTGTCAGCCTTACGCGCCGGCCGCCCTTTACTCCCCAAGAAAATTATTTAATTAATTCATAGTACTCATTTCTGTTAGAGGCTGGGTCAATCCCAGGGCCATAGTGCGGCTGGAAGGATTAGGTCAATTGAAAGAAATCAAATAACCTCATCGGGACTTGAACCCGCGACCTTCTGGCTTGTAGCATAGTACCTTAACCACTACGCTACCGCGTGCCCCTTACGTATTTATGTATGTAAATATATTTTAACGAAGGAATCCGAACTCTACGTGAGGTAAGAATACACCTGAGTAAGAGGCTTCTGTGCCTTGCAACATCAGAAAAGAAAAGAACTTCTGGGAAGAACTACATTTACCTTTCTTTGATATGACAAGAACTGCATAGAAAACGACGCTTTAAACAATTATTCGCTGCCGCGGGAACATCTTACCGAATTGTTACCTAGCAACGATAAGGGGATATGTAGACAGAGGGAAAGACCTTCTTTTGGTAAGACACGGACCGCATAGAAAATTACGCGTCCACAAATTCTTCTACTGTTTAGTGTATTCGTTGCCGCGGGAACGTGTTTACCAAGCCGTTGCCTAGCATCTAAGGGAAAGATACACTTAACTTAGTTTTTGCCTTGCGTCGATAATAGGGACACACATACAGACACACAGATTAAAGTAAGCCGCTCAGATGGGCTCAGTTGCCATGATATACATTCAAGTTTCATAAAGGTTGGTTCAGGCATTCAAAAGTGAACAGGTGGGGGACACAGACAGGATGGAGGTAGCCTAAGTCTATGAGAGTAGGCTTAAAAAAACAAACGCTAAATCTAGAAACTTTACATTCATCAGGATTTTGGTAAAGAAAATATTGACAAAACATCTGCAAAATTATTTAACAGCTTGAACATAAAAATATCTTGAAGAATGCAGTCTCCTTGGATGTGGCACCGTGCAGATCTTGTGTGAACTGACGTTTCGGAGGAACGTAACGCCTCCATCTTCAGAGTAGAGAAATCTGCGAGAAAGGAACCAGCATGAGCAGGTGGCTGCAGAGAGTCTACCCTGAAGACGGAGGCGATACGTTCCTCCGAAACATCGATTTACACAAGATCTTCACGGCTCCACATCCCAGAAGACGACATCCTTCATAGTCACCTCTATGGAAATCTCAAATCTTGCATAAAAATATCTTGACGTATATTATGTGATGCACAAGGACATGCAAATCCTTTGTTTCAGACAACTAATTTTGTGGATATTTTCAAGAACATTTGTTGTTTATTAACAATAAGACAATTGATCTTTATGGGAAAAGAAAGAAATTGTTCGTAAGTTGAAAATATTTTTACGTAGAGTGCTTATAAAAACAATGTGAATACTTTTGGAGGTAGAGGGCGATTATAAATTATTGTCGGTGTTTCTGTGGCCTATAAACGGATACCCCGACAATAATTTAGAATTACTCCGTATATGAAAAGCTTAAAATCTGTAACTGAGCATGATGGAGTAACTCGAATGGTGTTTATGAATATAATTCACAAACCTCATGTAGAATTTTGATGTTGAACAATATCTTTTTTTGGCGGCTCGCTATGTGTCAACAATAATTTAGATTTCTCATTATCATACTCAGTTTCGAAGCTAGGAAATGATAATGATAGTACATACTGTTGTTTTCCATGAATATGTTTGGATCATACGTAAAGCCAGAGTTCTCCAAAGGATTCCCGCAACTCGCGTGTTCTCCTGGTTTCTGTAAGTTTATGATGGACTTAATTTCCAGTCTGCAAACAAATTCAGAGAGGAACATTAGTCAAGAGAAAATAACTGCAAATTTATGGAATGTTTTTAGGATTTGAGAAAATTAAGTACACATTATTCACTCTAAAAGTAGCCTGCATTATGTATAGAACAGGATATATCAAGTTAGTTATATATAATTTTGACGAAAATGCGTATTGTGGTCATTGGTGTCAATGAAATATAAAACTCATTAATTAATGAGCTTCTTAAACACACTGTATTCCACGATATCAGCAGCAACATCATCCACTGCCATTGCAGGTACTATAATTTATAACTGTCTGTATTAACGGCCGTGGGGACTCGTTGCTCTGACCACGCGACACCCTCTTTCCGCTAAAGCTGGCACTAACTTCGCAAACTAGAGGCGGTCGCTCGGTCGGTATAGTTCGCTTGCGGACTCAAGCCACGGTAATAATATATCTAATAGTTCAATACAAATTGCGGAAAATGTGAACTACGGTAGCCACAGCACGCTCCATATCGTCTGACAATGTCCTCAAATAAGGAAATAAATTAACAGAAGTATGTAGGAAAGATCACAGGATATAACTCCTAAACCAAACATTTTAATGGGAACAAACAATTTTATTTTTAACCGAATATTCTAAGGAAATATTCAGTTGCTCAGTTACCGTATGGTGCACTTAGAAAATGCTCTCATAAATATATGTAATTTCCATAATTCAAGACAACAAAATCATGTCCGTTCCTTTGTTTTACCACATCCGAATTTCCGCCATATTAAATTAAGGACTTAAAATACTCGTATGCCTATTTATCATTTTTTCCCTTGTCACTACAGCCCCAGTGGGCCTAGATCTACCTCCATGAACTTATCCGTTCACTTCGGTTTTTCTAGATCTTACACATTCGGTAGGACTCCTTTGGCGGGTGATCAGCTCGTCGCAAGGCCTCTACCTGTACACAAACACAGAAAAACGCACACACACAAACTAAACATCCATGCCCTGAGTAGGATTCGAACCCATAATCCCGGTTTCCAAGCGAGCGAAGACAGTACATGCCTTAGACCGCTCGGCTACCGTGACCGGCAGTGTATAAGAATAATATATAAGAATTCAGTTCGTACCTCACAGGAAACAGATCCGAACCCACGATCCCGGTCTCCAAGCGAGCGAAGACAGTACATGCCTTAGACCGCTCGGCTACCGTGACCGGCGCCTATTTATTATAGTGACTTAAATTTCTTAACAAGTTTGATGAAAATACGCAAAATTCTTAGCAATGTACAGAACAACATAAACATAAACACGCGTCAGGTGATGTTTCCTGCCTTGAAGTGTAATATACGTGTATAACACCGTTAGGTGGTGAAATTTAGCCGTTGTTTCGGGGGAATATCGCCTGCATTTTCAGGGTCGCAGAGTAAGGCAACGGGAAACCAGCATGAAGCAGGCAGTAAAGCTTTCACCTGGCTACATGGGTTCACATTCCGTAAGAAATAACTTTTCATAGATACCGCTGTGATAATCTCAAATTCAGCATTTGCTGCAAATGTTCTAAAACAGGTTTCAAACGTAAGGTTACAAATATTAAGCCTCTGCCTGTAATTACGCTTCTGAGAGTCTTGAAGCAGATTAAGTTCACGTACTTACAATCTGAATTGCCGTCTCCTTCCCGATTATAAAAACATTTCCGCATTATGACAAACGCAGAGCTAACATTCGACTAACAGCAGTTAGCACAGGTAACAGCGTTTGTCCATTCCGAGAGGTAACTAGAAGTAATTTTGCAGTGATTATTTTATATATAGAAAAAATGTACATGTGTTATTAATTGTAACATAAAGATTCAGGTGTAAAGAATGATTCCCATTAACGAAAACGCTGTGCTCTTAAGTAATCTTAATATTACGAAAGCATAAAGATCCGGAGATAGGAACAAGCTCTATCGACTTGGCTTAACTGAGTAGGTTTTACTTGACAACGGAGACAGAATCCAGTCTCCGAAACGTTGTTTCCAAAAAAATAAACAGGACGGCGTTTTTAGATAAAGACAGGACGAGGGATAATGTCCATAAACATAACATTTCTACATAAAAATCGCCTTAAGCACTAATTCACTTAAATAAATTAAAATATATATTAACTTTACTAATTCTGTATTTCAGCATCCTCTTGCACATCTTTAATTAAACGTCCATGTATCAAGTCACTGGACTGGTCATGTTTTACGCAGAAACTGCCTTCGAAAAGAAGTTATCGAAGGATAGATAGAGGGGCGGATAGAAGTGACAAGAAGACGAGGAAGAAGACGTAAGAAGATGCTGGATGACCTTGGGGACAGAAGAGGATACTGTCATTTGAAGGAGAAAGCTCTAGATCGCATTAAGTGGAGGAATTGTTTTCGAAGAGACTGTGGACCTGTCGTCTTGACAGATTACTGATGATGATGATGTATCACGTCCGTCAATAATGCAACAGTCATTAAAATATTCACCATTTAACACTAAAACAACATGTTTCGGCCACAGATGGCCATCCTCAGGTGTTTCAGTGCGTCCAAACTGTCTGGAATACACGTATCACGTAGCTTTAAACAAGTGGACGACACCCCTTACGAGTTGGTACATGATTTTACGAAAGATTTTAATAGGAAAAAATGTAATAAATTTTAAGTAATTATTTATGTTATTTTAAGTGGACTGCAACGTGCAATTTTAGCGCGCGTCAAAGTAGTGTAACAGTTTGGACCCATTGAAGCACCTGAGAATGGCCATTTGTGGTCGAAACATGTTGTGTTAGTGTTAAATGGTGAATATTTTAATGATTGTTGCATTATTGACGGACTTGATACATGGACGTTTAATTAACTTTACACCGATATAAACTCTTCCATACTTTGCAATCATACGGAGAACAGAGGAAGTTTTTTTTTCTAATTCGTTAGTGGGAGTTGGAGTCCAACTAGGTCCACTCGGCACGGCGGCCATTGAGTGGCCTATTGTATGCTGCCCCTGGTGATTATGATGATGGAGAATTTGGTGGAATGAAGATTGGCAAGGGAAACCGAAGTATTCGGAGAAAACCCGCTCCAGCGCCACTTTGTCCACCACAAATCCCACTTGACCAGACCCGGGATCGAACCCGGGCCGCCGCGGTGGGAAGCCAGCGACTAACCGCTTGAGCTATGGCGCGGCCTCACGGAGGAAGTTACTGATCCACTAGATTCTGACAGTGAAACGGATGAACATCAACATTCTATAAATACTCACACGAGATACTATTGACGCACTGTCTCGTTCTCTTGGACATAATACATTTAAACAGCGCACAAGACTCGGATTTCCTGAAGCCCCGAATAATTTTCTCAAAGTTACTGCTTCAGCTGCATACTTAAGTACGAAGTAACATAATCACTGGAAAATTTATTACCAGTGAAATGTGAGCCGGGGACCGGAACCTGTGCGCGAGTCACAGGTTGTAAACAAACTTGCACTAAAGAATTAAATTCATGTATGAACTTATGTACAACGAAGTTGGGCATGTGAGAGCAGTTGCCTTGCTAATGGACCTCATATTATATTGACTTTCTGGGGGTAATGTTGTTAACGGTCTACTTATCTGTTACGGGAAGTGCGCCTCGAAACATCGTTACCGCGTATATCTGAGAACTGGGCGTCCCATTTTCGTCAAACTTTGTGTGAATATAACGCCATAGCAGGTCACCGCAGTTTCATTGCATTTTAATTTCGTGCCAGCAAATACTCGTATATGGTGATACGCGGTGGAGTAGTTGCTTGACGAAATATGTTACAAGCCGGGAGGTAAAGGGCTCGATTCCCAATGACCTCATTGGATTTTTTAATAGACCTAATCCTTCCAGCCTCATTATGGCCCTGGGGCCGACTCAGCCTCTGACATAAATGAGAAACAGAACTCTTTCTGTGGGTATAAAGGGCGCCGGCGTGTAAGGCTGACAACTTCACCGCCATCTGTAAGCCGATTATCTAGAAAGTGTGGGAGCCTCGACGTCTCACAACCCTATGGGCCTTCACGGCCTGTTACAGGGATAACTTTGCTATTTTTTTCACCTTTTACCAGCAAATATATACTACCCGATGTTCCGAGGAATTAGCAACAATAATGGAATTTATGGACAGTAAAGTATTGATTGCCGGTCACGGTAGCCGAGCGGTCTAAGGCATGCACTGTCTTCGCTCGCTTGGAAACCGGGATCGTGGGTTCGGATCTGTTTCCTGTGAGGTACGAACTGAATTCTTATATATTATTCTTATACACTGCCGGTCACGGTAGCCGAGCGGTCTAAGGCATGTACTGTCTTCGCTCGCTCGGAAGCCGGGATCGTGGGTACGGATCCCACTCAGGGCATGAATGTTTGTGTGCGTTTTTCTGCGTTTGTGTACAGGTAGAGGACTTGCGACGAGCTGATCACCCGCCCAAGGAGTCCTACCGTATGTCTAAGATCTAGAAAAACCGAAGTGAACGGAGAAATTCATGGAGGTAGGCCTAGGCCCACTGGGGCTGTAGTGCCAAGGGAAAAAAAAGTATTGATTATTAACATACGTATATTTTGCCCCTGTTGAAGGATGAGAATGTGGGGTTGGCGCAAATATTTGTTCCGATTAGTAACTGTAAGAGAGCCGCGGCGGCCTGGGTTCGATACCGGGTCTGCTCAAGTGGGAATTGTGGTGGACAAAATGGCGCTGGGGCAGGTTTTCTCCGAGTATTTCGGTTTCCCCTGCTAATCTTCATTCCACCAACTGCTCCACAATCACCCTCACCTATCATCTGGGCCTGGTACAATAGGCCAGAAGTGGTTGCAGTACAAGGGACTTAGTCCCACCCCACTTGCAATAAAATAACTGCAATGGTGTGGAGGCATGTGGTAGGGAAGTATTTAAAACGATACATCACTAGACTGAGTAATTCCAGACTTGCTGCTCACGATAATATCTCGTGAGATACGAGAGGATTTAATAAAAAATAGGGCCGCAGCCGCAATACGTTTCTGACATTACCAGTTGTTCGTACTGGTTTCATAAAATTTGGAATCGATTATATCCAGGTTAGAAGTTTGCAAGTTTCAACAGATATATAGTATCTAAGGATTATATTTAACATGTAATTTTACATCCTCTAACTAGGAAATGGTGTAGCACAGTCGGTAAAGAAATGGGCTAGAGGCTGGAAGACAGGGGTTTGATACCCGGCATAGTCAAAATAATTTTCGTTGCACTACAGGATCGAGACCCGTACTGGCGCCCATCCAGTCTCTATTCCATTGGATTAAGCGGCCGGATTTTGAAGATGATCATACACTGCCAAGGTCAAGAATGGTGGAGCAATACCTCCACTCCCCATACGTCTTCAGACAGAAGGACGACTTTCCTTTTTTAACCTACGTCTGTGCAGTCTTCAACTGTTTACTCGGACCACGAGACTGCGGCACGATTGTTAAATTTTTTATTTCAAAATGTCTTTTGCCATTAGGCTCGGAGTGTATTTTTGTTTCTGTTGGTCTGACGAGGATGACATTGATACCAACTACTGGAAGTAAAACTAGCTTTTCACTGCCATAAAGTAAATTATTATTGACTGAGACGAGAGTCAATTCTGTAAGTGCGGAAAATCGTTACTGTGTATCTCTAACTGTGGTCCGTGCCGGTCCACCGGATGGTCCGTAGCATTATACGGTACATGTGCTATTATATGACATATAACGAATAAAAATACTTTAAATTTAAAGAACTCTGACGAATCAATATTTAAAAAAAAATAGTGTAAATTGATAGAAAAAAAAATGGTTTGTGGCAACTTTAACTGCAATTTTTCCCTTGAAGAAAGCAGTCTTCTGGGATTTGGCACCGTGTATATGTGGTGTTAACCGACGTTTCGGAGGAACGTATCGCCTCCATCTTCAGGGTAGACTGTGCAGACAGTCTGCTTTTATCGGTTCTCACGGTCTCTCCGCTTGCAGAATTCTTATATTTTTTCTTCTACCCTGAAGATGGAGGCGATACGTTCCTCCGAAACGTCGGTTAACACCACATATACACGGTGCCAAATCCAAGAAGACTGCTTTCTTCATAGTCACCGCCGTGAAAGCCTCAAATCTTACAATTTTTCCCTTGCTTACTCCGACTGGAACGTATGACGTTTTAATGTATTGTAACCGTTCAGTCCGTTACGGCCCTTTGGTTGCTGGTTGCAGCTGCTCCTCTAGCCGTTCCATCTCACCTGTTGGTACTCCGAGTTTGCAGGTTGCTGCTGCGTCCTTTTTATCCAGTTCTGCTCCCTTTGTTGTTGTTGTTGTGGATAACTGTTTGCGGGGTATGGGTTACCTTAATGCTGGGCGCCAGTAAGCTTACTATAAAGGCTTACAATTCAGGAAAAAGGGAGGATGAACCGGAAACTACAGGTGATAGGTACCGCATTCTCACTAGAGCGATGAGATTCTGTCTCAGGGTGAATACGGGCCTCGCGTCAGCGCACTATCACACACTATTTAATGAGCAGGTCTTGATATACACGTACATGTAACAGCACTTGTTGCACTCCCTTAAAACACCTTGAAATCGCTCAAACGTGGCGACTGGAGCCATGGCTAGTTATTTAGCGACTGCTTCTTTTAGCACAACACACAGAATTACACTTTCACTTAAACTTTTAAGACAAAGTAAAATTCACATTAAATTTTGAAGAGTTATTCAGGGATTGTTCCCACAAAACACTTAAACATAATTCTGTTTTAACTTTGACTTTTTTTAAACCCAACTGCCAGTGACGCTAGTTTTTCGGCTGTACACTTGGAGAGTTGTTCAGAGACTCCTTTCGCGGACTGACCTGCTTCGAAGCAAGAAATCTTCATGGCTTCAGCTCCGCCTCCAAGTTACTACCCTAATTTCGGCTGATTGGAACAATTCGAATTTAGGGAGTTAACCATAATTCTCACTGCTCCAATCACGTAGCTTTAATTTGGGACTTTGGACCTTAAAGTCCTAACGTCGTTTTTGACAGCTGCTTGAAAAATTATACCAGTAGCGTGGGTTGCTGGCCTTCCCACTTTTGACTTAAGGGGTTCAAAACCTGTCAAGTGTAACTTTACCAAAGGATCCCGCCGGTCAACTTTCGAACTGAATTTCCAGGAAAACTCTGCGGGGTGCTTCCTGCCTGGTCTTTGTAGCAGTGAAGCAGGCCCTATTCTTGAAACCAAGAATCGGGCTAAGTCACCCTTCAATGTTCCTTGCTACATCTTATGCTTAATTACTATAAAAGGAATACTGATTACAAATAAAGCTGGTGGTGTCAGTGGTACGGCTATAGTCTAAACATATCAATTAAAATTCGTTTTTATATAATTTAAGCGAAACAGCAATAGAATAAATAAATAAAAAAATTTTAAGAGTTTTAGTTCTGTTTCTAAAAGCTATTTTAGAACAAGCTTTCGTTCAAAGCAATGATAAATGTATGTATCTATGGCTCTACAGCCCTTTGTTGGACCTTGACCCCTTTTTACAATTTCTTGACCCTATAAACAGTCGGTAGGACTTCTTGGACAGTGGATCAGCCTGTTGCAAGGCCTCTTACCTACACGCAGAACAACACAGACACAGAATAAACGCACACAATACAGACATCTATTTCTTGAGTGGGATTCGAAACCACGATCCCAACGTTCGTGTGAGAGAAGGGAGTTCATGTCTTAGACCGCACGGCCACTGTGATCCGCCCCTGTTTCAACCGCCCTGGCTTTTATCTAGCTAACTAACTTCACGATGCTGATTTTGTCTTGTGAAGACGACAGTCGCTCTGTTACTCAAGAGTTTCTCGAAACTCTATGTAACCGCAAGATTCATTACCGTGTTCACAAGAACCCGCCACTGGTATCTATCTTGAGCCAGATGAAGCCAATCAGCACCACAAGATAACTTAAAATATGATGGAACATTTTTCTTTTGTTTTGGATCTGAAATTATAAGAGTTGCAACACTTATGTGTCTAGATTTGGAGGGGACACACAAAATCCTTCCGCCAGGCCTGCCTGTAATCAACTCGAGATTCTTATAAGGCACTTACCGACCACAAGTTTACAAATTTTAGGTGGGAAGATCTGGCTGGCACGACAACATTACAATGGATGTTAGGAAACTATGAGATAGGATGGGATGGTATGGATTGGATTGATCTGTCTCAGGATAGGGACCGCTGGAAGGCTCTTGTGAACACGGTAATCAATCTTCAGATTGGGAAATTCTTGAGTAGCTGCGCAAGTGGTGGTTCCTCAAGAAGGGCTCAGCTCCGCGAGTGAGTGAGCTAGGAAACTGTAACTTGTTCTGATGTGGAGTGGAGTGGACTGCCTGGAGGATGTGTTCCAATGGTGATGTTCAGTAGCAACGGTATGGAATATTCGGTTTAATACAGTACGCTTACGAAGTCATTTTCGCGAGATCTGAAGGCTAAAGCAACATAATATTATGTTTAAATCAATGATGTAGTGTAGTTACTGTTGTTTGAGATATATTTCCCCCTACTCCGTGATTAGTGACAAGTAAACGTAATAGAATTCTTACCTTTTGAACTGTTCGATAATTTTTTTATTTTTGATGATCTCTGTGCTGGGACGGGCCATTGCTAGAATATCGTCTGTTACCCTGTAATGAGAAATGATAATACTAAAGAGTTTGTTTACGACAACATACAGAAGTAGAAATTGTATATAGTCAAATATAATTTGTGTAACCCTTCAGTCCAAGGGACAGGCGAACTTACTCCTCTGATGAAGAAAAAATATAAAATTGAAGGAACCTCAAATGCTCAAATTAAACATTGTGATTACTGAGTCTATTTACCCTTGAATTTGGCAGACTATCTGCAGCCACCTGCTTACGCTGTTTCCTAGCTAGTGGATTTTTTCTACCCTGAAGATGGAGGCGATATGTTCCTCCGAAACGTCGGTTATCAAAAGATCTACACGGTGCCACATTCCAGAAAACGGCATTCTCCATGATGACATTGCTTTTAAATTCTAATTTATCACTTCAATTTCTCGGGTTTCTTTCATATATTTATAAAAAAATAAAATAAATACATTCTTTGCTCGCTTGAGCGCCTCTCACGCAAACTTTCCATTGCTACATTGATCAACAAAATGAACTGATTTGTCATATCGATATAAAATACATTTATCGATGGCCGCGTTCATGCTCGTGCAACATATTTTTGTGAATAGGTTTCGTAATATTTATGGAGCTTTAAGCACTAGAAGAACATTTAAGTACATTCTGGTCCAGTGAGTGAGATTAGCTATTTCATAGATAGGCCGCACACCGACACGCGTCAAGACATGTTAACAGTCAAGACACGATGTCTGCGACATGGCGCAAAGAAAGGAGCACAGCTGAAACGAATGAGATTATGAAAACCGCCGCACACCGGTCTGATTCATGATGCTGACGAATCACGAATGAAGCAAGACTGCGTCATTTGTCTCATGTCTTGATGCTTGTCTTGACGCAGTTGGTGTGCGGCCGCCCTTAGGGATCAAACAGAGTCGGTGCCTCCCCCCCCCTTCTCACTTGAGGACGGAAAGGGATCCAGTTTCCGAAACGTCGTGTTTTCTATTTTCTAGAATACCAGACGGTGGAAAAGTCCAAAAAGACAATAATTCTGTGAAGAACACTTAAGTTCAGCACTGCCAGAAACTCCGAAGTTTAAATTATAACTCGACAAGACTTTCAGCCTCTTTCTGAATTGTATTCATAAATATGCCAGTGGCCGCATTTTAAAATCACGTAAGTTATACCGTTAAATTAGGTGGCATTGACCATACATAATTTATTGTCCATTGACTTCGATCATTTCCTGAACATCAAGTTCAAAACAACTTTCATATAAGAAGAAAGCAGTCTTCTGGGATTTGGCACCGTGTATATGTGGTGTTAACCGACGTTTCGGAGGAACGTATCGCCTCCATNTTCATATACATCACCGCCATATTGCATAAAAACTTTAAATTAAGGAACATTAATAAGTTGCTACTGTAGTGTTGGGTACGTATTATTAACTCCTTAAGTTCTACTTGGACATGCAGTGGCTGGCTCCTTCCTGAAGTAAGAATATGTTGCAGGCAATCTCACAACAACATGTCTTGTAGCGGAACGGAAACACACCACACAGTTATGCTGCATGCATCATGAAACCCTTCCGTACCAGCCGTCGGTACACCGTCCACTGCGTCACCTGGCATTCTTCCGTCAGAACCACCCCAGTACCAGTGGTGCAGATGTAGGAAACACACAACTGTTTCTATTTGCATATATACAGGGAGTAAATAAATATTTGTTACAACGCTCTGTGGTAGACAGATGGGTTCAATCTGATCATATTTTGTTAGCAGACCCACGTCCGGAAACGCTTCCTTTCTGCACTAAGGGCCACAAAGTTTCCCGAGAGGATGCATAAGTTTTAGGGGATGTTATCGTTGTTTTACATTATAAAAGTTTATCAAAATGGCGGCCATCAACTTCATTGCATGTTTTGCACCGCCTGGTCATGTTATGCTGAACTATTTGAAAGATTCCCGGCATTTCCCGGATGGCTCCAGCTGCTACTGCAATTCTTACCAGGTGATTGTGTTGTGTCTCCACTGGAGTCTCGTATACCAGGCTTTGCATGTGCCCTCAGAGAAAGAAATCCAGGAGTCAAGTCAGGAGAGCGAGGAGTCCAGGTTACTGGGTCTCCACGTCCAATCCATCTGTTGCCAACGGTTTGAACCAAATACTCACTGACGACATTAGT